TGGATCCCGTACGTACGTTTTAACCCTAGCCACCGGGGTTCATACCCGCAAGGCCTAACTTAAATAGGTATATCTTAGAGGTCTTCTAGATACCTTTCAAATCAACATTAATATGGGTATATCTTAGAGGTCTTCTAGATACCCTTAACAATACATTTTATTTTCACAATCATCAATATATTCATTATGATTTAATCATTCACAATTATCATTTTTAATCAGAATATTCATCAAGATTCAATCATCATAATAATCAATCAATAATCATTACCATAATCATCAATCAACATAATATTCAATAATAATTAGCGGCCTAGCTTCGAGTGTTAACACCCTAACTTACCGTCATGCATCACATAACATTTTTATTTGTTAAAAACATCATTTTTATTATGGTAAATCATTTTTCCAATGATCATAATCAATTGGTGGATTTTAGAGCATATATTTTCCGAATATTTTCGGAACATGATCTCGACTTAAGAAAAATCGATTTTTATTTTTAAAAATAATCAATTAATACCTAAAAATCTATTTGTATATTTAAAATAATCCATTAATAGCTAAAAATCGATTTTTATATTTTAAATAATCAATTAATTGCTAAAAATCGATTTTTATATTTTAAATAATCAATTAATTGCTAAAAATCAATTTTTATATTTTAAATAATCAATTAATTGCTAAAAATCCATTTTTATATTTTAAATAATCAATTAATTGCTAAAACTCGATTTTTATATTTTAAATAATCAATTAATTTCTAAAAATCGATTTTTATATTTTAAATAATCCATTAATTACTAAAAATCGATTTTTACAATTTAAATAATCAATTAATTAATTTTAATCGATTTTTACAATATAAATAATCGATTAATTCATAAAAAATCGATTTTTACAATTTAAATAATCCATTAATTCATGATAATCGATTTTTACAATTTAAATAATCAATTAATTCATAATAATCGATTTTTATAATTAAAATAATCGATTAATAACGTTAAATCGATTTTGATGATTAAAATAATCGATTATTATTATTTTTAAATATACTGACTATCTGAACAAATTTTTAATTGATTATTAGGAAGGAAATAATCGATTTTCGGCCACTGTTCATCATCTTCTTCCTCTGTTCAATTTTTAACATTGTCATTTTTAATTACCAAACTTCAATTAAATTATATAGGAATGTTCCCCAATGTTCACAGATCATTTTAGAGTCATTAATTTGTAGTTTTAACAACAATTTCTTGGTTTATGATTCTTGGTTCTTCAAACATGTCAAACATAAAACTCAACCAAATGACCATTTATGAACGTAAAAACGATCTATACGAACATTCTAATCACTAGATATATCTACGGGCTTACCTCGAAGGTAAATGAAGGTTTTGAATATTTTCCGGTGAAACTTCCGGCGAACACCACTTCTTGTTTCGGCGACCTCTCACCAAATTGACAGCACCACTGCGTTCTCCACACTTAAGGCTATCTCTCAGAATGAGTTTGATGAAGAATGGTGAAGAAATGGTGAAGTTGGGTTTCTTATATAGTAAAAGAATGGAGGAAGAGGCCAAGGTGATGATGTATCCGTTCCTGTTTCTGCGTCTCAGTGGAGGGGGCTGCGATATTTCTTCGATTCCAAACGCAAGTCCCTGATTGGGACTAATTTGGTCCCAGTCGGGGAACACTTTTTGGTCCAACTTTCTCCGAATTGAAATCCGATTGCACTGTTGCGATCTGACAGTTAAACTCTATCTAACGATATAATTTTTATATTTATTCGTTATACTTTTTCCGACATCATATTTTTGGGTGGTTGACTTTGACAGAGTCAAAATTGGTTTAATTGACCTTTATTTAAAAAGGTTCTCACATTTAATTCATATTATTTATTTCCATGATTTATTTCAATAAATCATTTCAAAGTTCACATTATAAACAATTTCTTCATTTATTCTTAATTTGGGTCTGTACTCAGGTTCCTAATCAAGATCACACAATAAATCAACATGTTGGATTTATCTCTATGAGATTTTTATCCCAATTATGTTTATTGGATATCAATATATATTTTATTTCAGCCCAAAGCCCAACAACAATTTATTTTAATCAAAACAAATTTTGTTTAATTGAATATTTAATTCAATAAATTTTAGGGTATATTTTGGGGCGTTACAGATAGCTTTTACATCCTCGTTAAACCGTTAAAAGTATTCTCAAATAGTATAACTCTCTAGTTCCGTTTGGCACATATTTCAAGCGGCCTATTGATGGTCTTTGTTGTCTCGGGAACCATTTCCGCTCCTTGTTATACACAAAATATCCAGGTTGTTGAGTTAAATCAAATCTAAAAAAATATGAAGAATTAAAACTTGAAACAAATGGTTAGTGAGTTAAATCAAACCTAAACATTACAAAATGAAGAATCAAACAAACATGACTTCTTCAAACAAATCATGAAGAATTAAATCAAACACTTATCATCGGTTCAATATATAGACAGAAACATTAGTTGAAATAAAACTTGAAATATATAAAAACTTGGAACAGAGGCTAAACTTGTATAAATATTTAACATATGATATATATACTTACGTGTTCGTCGATGAATACCATTTTTAGTGAGTTTATTGCCTTGTTATCATTGAAGGGAGGCAACGTATACAACCGTATCACACGAACACAAATCCTCCAACACCCACTTATCGGATTGATTTTTGATAAAGGGTGAATGAGCCTGAAAGACATGACGATTTAGCAAACAAATTATTATTCGATTGTAGTTTTCTTTCCAAGGCATCAATTTTGAATCGAGAACACAATTGAAATGAATGTATTCCAATGTGATATATAGATTGCCAAATGCCAACACTAATTTTTTACAAATAAGAAATCTCCTAATAAGAAATAAGAAATCTCCTAAATTCCGTAGCTAAATCAGAATCGTGCATAGGACTTTCCAAGGCAAAAGTTGTGAATCGGACTTACCTAATTTTGAAGGCATAATCGTGAGATTCGTTGTGAAGGCTCAACAAATTTTGATTCGAACTTACCAAATTTTGAAGGCTTCATCTCGCGATTGATTTCTCACATACGGAAATCACTAATCTTCAGCCAACGATTTAGAAATCATAAGCGATTCTCCAATTTCTTCCTTTTTTTGAAGGCCAGCAAAGAAGGAAAGGAGTTGTTATGAATTCGAAAGAATTTTTTTGATGGCAGTGATTATCGCGTAGAAACTCTACGATCAATTGGTTTCATCACGAGATCCGCTGGTGCATTTAGTATATAATTTTCCTTAAATTTTACTCACTTATGACATGACACTGACATGTAAAAATTTGGCCAAATAGACACGCCAAATGTCGAATTCCTGCGAATCGGAGTCTCCTTTATTATAATAAAGGATATATATATATATATATCCCTCTTATTATATAAATAAACATAGACTCCAGTTAGGTACCCATTAATTTTATGGTTTTTTTCCATCCAAAATAGTTGTACTCTTGGGCTTTAGAGGGTGTTTGGGAGTGATTAGCATATTGATAAAGTGATTTCTACAAAAGTTGAAAGCAAAAGCACCTCATACCTGTTTCTCCGAAATGGTGTTCCATGTACAAAATAATGTTGGTGAAAAGCAGAAGTTGACATGCCAAATAGAGTAAAATCACTTCCACTCGAAATAGAAGCTAAATTGTTAAAAGCAGCGCACTGCCAAACACCCTTTTAGTGTTGTGCCATATCATTTTACTCTCCAATATGCCCCAGCCGTTAGAAACTCCGTCTATGCCCAGTACACTCCAATTTTCTTTTGCTGATGCGTAACCCTCCAAACACAACCCGGTAAACGTAAAGGCGATGCAATTGAATGGCGAAATCCACGGCTTCACCTGCTGGATTAAATTCTTGAATTGGCGTTGCAATTTAATATTGGAATTTTAGGGATTCACTCGATGCATTGCTACAGGTTTTGTTAGATTTGCGGATTCCCCAATAAAAAACAGGTAATTGATTTGCATTATTACTTTAATATATTTTTGGCCGTTTGGAAGCTTTCTGGGTTGTAAATTCCAAAATATACTCCTAATTAATAATAATAATAATCTAAACACACGTTACTTTTTTGTCAATCATACTGCTATTTATAATCGGCGCTTGGAAATGGAATGAATCACAGTCCTGTGCTTTGGTCCCAGGTTAGAGAATTCTTTCAGGGTTTTTTCGAATTTACAGACTTTGTTTTTGAATGAATTTTTTCGTCAAATTGTGATGCTTATTTGCAATTACCCAGATTGTTTTGAATTCACAAGTGAATAATCTCCATGTTTAAATTTCCAGGTTCAATTTCAGTTGCTCTAATTTCCTACATCATTATTAAGGTAAGTATTATTTCTTGAGGTATGTCAAAATTCCTATTTCATTCTCTTTATTCAATTTATCAAATTCCAGTATTTAAGTTTTTTCTTCATTTTTAGTATTGTTTGTATTTGGATTACTTAGATTGTTTTGTTTGATTTGTTGGATATTTGATTAATGACAAATGCTATTTTTATTTTATAGCATGATAAAATAAACATTTTTCGCAAATCAGCTTCTTGGATCATCCTTTTTCGTTCCCTTGGACAAGAACGCAACTTTGAATAAGTTTGAAGACCTCACTGATGAACAAATCAGCATTAGCCCCCCAACCGCTTCAAATATTGACCTCACTGATCAACAAACCAGCATTGGCCCCCAACCACTTCAAATCTTATAGCATTAATCTTCTTCTATATAGACCAAGCTATGATTCCCAACAGAATTCCTTCAAGATTTGCTTCAAACTTTCTATTGTTAGCAGTCATAAAGCATTTCTGTGAATATCTTTTTGAAATCCTAGGTACTTTCTGAAACTCATTGTCTTAAGGTTTGTCTGTGTTTTGGAAGTGGTGTTTTACTCTTGTTTTTAAGGCTGGATTTTGGGTCTGGATTTGCATGTTGGCATTTGGCAGATCATGGGTATGCTTTTAATTCTGGTTTGGGGGTTTTAGGTCTTGAGTTTGGGTCAAGGTCTTGTTATTTGAGGTTAGGGTCTAGGTTCAGGTTTGATATTGGGAATTTGGATTAGGCAATGGGTTAGGATTTTTTCCCTTGGTTTGGGTTTTGTGTGTGATTTAGGTTCTGGATTTGGTGTTTGGGGATTGTTTTTGGTCTGGGTTTTGTGTTTGGATGTATATTTTAGCATTTGACAAAATTTGGATGGGTTTTGGAGGATAATTTTTGTTTTTTTCCATTACTTATAGCACGTTTGTGGATTAAAAGATATTGACATACAAGTTCTTGGCCTGCTTTTATGGTAGGTTCTAGGTTAGGTTTGACGTTTTGTATTTGGGACTGATTTTTGGGGCATCTTTTTTGAGTAGGTTTTGGGTTGGGTTTTGACTTTTGGTTTTAGTCTTTATGTCCGTTTTTTGGGTCGAGATTTTAGGGTTTTGTGTCCGTTGAGGATATGTTGTTTAACTATGGTTGTAGAGGCAGGATTTTTGTTCTAGACCTGCACTTTAGGGTTTGGCAGATCATGGGTATGCTTTTAATTATGGTTTAGAGGTTTTAGGTCTTGTGTCTAGCGGAGGGTCTGGTTATTTGAGGTTAGCGTCTAGGTTTATGTTTCTGCTTTTGGGGTTGGTTTTGGTTATTGTGTTTGGGACTGGTTTTTGGGGTAGGTTTTGAGGTAAGACTTGGAATTGAGTTCTATTAAATAGGTTCTATAAGAACACGCGTAGTTTAGGGATTTGATGCCTATTCTAGAGTACTTTAGAGGACTAGGTTTTGGGATCAACTACTCTACAGCCTCAAAAGCCTTTTCCAGATGAGAAATGGAGCTGCCCAGTGAGTTTAACTCTATAAATATTTTTCATGTGTTAACTCTAAAAATCAGGAATGGAGCTGCCCAATGAGTTTCACTGATCAGCAATGGACTAGGTTTATCTTTCTGCTTTTGGGGTTGGTTTTGGTTTTTGTGTTGGGACTGGTTTTTGGGGTAGGTTTTGAGGTAAGACTTGGAATTGGATTCTATTAAATAGGTTCTATAAGAACACACGTAGTTTAGGGATTTGATGCCTATTCTAGAGTACTTTAGAGGACTAGGTTTTGGGTTCAACTACTCTACAGCCTCAAAAGCCTTTTCCAGATGAGAAATGGAGCTGCCCAGTGAGTTTAACTCTAGAAATCAGCAATGGAGCTGCCCAATGAGTTTAACTCTAGAAATGGAGCTGCCCAATGAGTTTCAGTGATCAACAAATCAGCATTAGCCCCCCAACCACTTCAAATATTGACCTCACTGATCAACATATCAACATTGGCCCCCCAACGACTTCAAAAATGTTTTTCATGTAAAGGAATCTGTCTCTTAAAGGAAGTTTAGAGCCTTTCGTTAAAGTCATTGGTGATATTTGTTTTTATTATTGATCAGTTGAAAAGTACTACTCTTATTAAAATAAATACATCTTTAACCGTTAATGCGAATGTACAACTTATAAATCACATTAACAGGCGAGATGAGAGCATTGACCTTATGAAGAGGTACATCGACCTGAAAACATATAAACATGCCTTAATTGCGCTTGCATACCCTCCTGGACAACCGAAGACCAAAGTTGGCAGCATTCCCGAAATGAATATCCAGGTATGAATCATGGATCAGGACTACAACTGTTTTTTCGAAAAAACATTCGCTACAAAACGTAAACATTTTAATTAATGTCTCCATATTTAGGGAAAAGGAGTTATGCGAATTATAGACGACACTGCAAGTTTCTACATCGGTTGTGACTATTGTAATCGTAAAGTCTTTGGCCCGAAAGGGGGAAACTATAGATGTTTGGATTGTGGCAATCCTCATGCACGCGCTGAAAAGAACTGAGTATTGTTAAATAGTTTATAATCACCTACAATGTCTATATTACAGTTTACATTAAGTTCTACGGTCCAATTTTAGGTACAAGGTTGAAGTTGAGTTGACAGATGAAACGGGACAAATATTAGGAACAATTTTCGATGAAGATTTCAACCGCCTGTTGCAGATCACGAACACTATTCATCGATCAGGATCAATTGACATTGCAAAACTTCAAGCAAAGATGGATGGAAAGAAGTTTTTTTGTGAAGTAAGACTTGACAGAAAACAGTTCCCTGGAAAGAGTAAGCAGACTTACACTATAAATGGTGTTTGTGAAAATGCTAAGGTGTCACAGTCAGTTGGCGTACCAAGAAATGATGAGGGAACCAGTGCTGGACGCAGCAGCATTATAAGAACCTTGACCTTTGATGACGCATTTGAAGAGCATGAAGGAATTCTAAATCCTGCCATTGAAGAAAGAAGCGGAGGAAATGACGAGGGAACGAGTATTGAAGGAAGTATTATAAGAACCTTGAGCTTCGATGGCGCAATTGAGCAACGCGAAGGAATTATAAATCCAGCCCTTGAAGAAGGAAGCCCACAAGAAACGCCATCCAAGAAACGCAAAAATGATACTATTATCATTTAATAGTTAAACAATTCAAAGTCTGTGTTTTAAATAATTATTTATAGCTTGCTTTGTTCTCTTTTGTTCGAACCAGATGAGGATCATTTCCAGATCTTTGGAATTAATAATCAATATTTTTCATGGTTTTGTTATTGTGAGTGACTAATTTTATAGGTCTGTAGTTCATATGTGGGCATTTTTTAAGAAAGGTGAAAGTCAGGGTATACTATGCCCTCTCCCATTACGGTTGAAATGGACCAATAAGTTTAAATATAAGACTGAATATGACTTTGTTTCATTTTTGTTCTTTAGAGGGGAGCCACATTGCAGTATACTTCGTATACTTTGCTGTCCCTACTTCTACCCGGCACACAAATGCTTATTCGAGTGAAGCTCGCTGAGTTTGTCTTACCTTCGTTGAGTTCCCAACGAACCGAGAGCCATTCTAAATAATCAGGCTAATACCTCTCAGAGTTTCCCAGTCTCTCTCGGTTCGACTCATACGGGACGCCCGGGGCAGTAAAGTCATTCTATCGACTCAGACCCTTCTTGCTGCCTGCGAGGCAGCCCTTGAAGCTATATTTGTCTTAGACAGATGGGATCCAAGCGCGGGTGATTCCATCTCTGACGAGATTTCTTGATTCGCATGATCTCAGGGAAAAGCCCAAGAGATATAATAGGGAGATAGGGAATTGGGCTAACGATCAGATAGTCAGATAGTCTACTATGGAGTATTATATATATTTTTTAATATCTGACAGAATGAAATTGCTGTGTGTATTGGTTTGATTTGTGTGTGCTTATTGTTTACCATCATCCCACTATATATTGTACTCAGACCTTCGTGATTATAACCAGTTCATTGTAGACCATCCTGGTTATAGAAAGAGTGTTTGGTTTTGAAAGATATTATATTTGGCTGAGAATAGGTGTGAGCATGAATAATAAGTTTGAGTCGACTTCTATTCATTTTAAGCATTGTTTGGATAAACTTTTGTTCAAAAAATAAGTTGATAAATAAACAATATCTTGTTTTAATCATAATTAAGGGGGATTTTTTCCACTAGAGAATGACTTCTCATTTTCAAGACGGAAGGTCCTGCAGATAATAGTGAAATGAATTATCCAAAAAACTTGGCTATGTACCTCTTGTGAAATGTATTCTATTAAATATACATCCCACAATGCAGGTAATTCCCTCAGTTTCATCAACCTCTGTGTTCTCATTAGCGTTGACAGACCCATAGTCATTACAGTCATCCTCAGAAAAACTTGAAGTATGACCCTTATTCATAGAGTATAAGAGTTTAGAAAAAAATATGTAAAACAACTGGAGCTACAAATATATGTGAACTCCAAGTGCATTCATTCACCCTGTACAGTTGCTGCCAGTCCAAAACATATGCAGTACTAAAGATACCTCTAAAGTTTTTTGTATGACCCTCAAGTTTGACTATCTTTCTTCTTTTACTCACGAAATTAATATCATAACATTTCTCAGGCTGTGCGTTGTAAATGATAAGTATACTGACACTCATATTTCTTGTGCAGAGGCCAGATGTTTGCGTTGGAGCAACTGCTGCAGGTGATGAAACACTAAGATTCTAGAATCGTATAACAACCCCAGAACTCAAAGAAACAGGTACTCAAGTGTACTCAGAAACTGTTAGCTCATGTTAACTGAATCGTATCATGCCCGCCCCTGCCCCATTTACTACATTTTTGAGGGAAATTGGATGTGAGTATTGAGTGTTCAATCAAATTTAGTAGTATAAGTGTGAGAAGAATATGAGTTCTATGTGCATCTGCCTGGTCATCCACGCCAATATATCCATCGGGTATGAATATTACTAACTGCCCAGAGTCTTGTTGAGCTGCATGATAAACACCAAGTTCAAGTCAAAGTGGATAAACCAGGTATTGCACCATTTATTTTGAAATGGAAAATGGGATATTCAAATTAATTCAAAATAACAAGAATCATTCAACAGAATTAATGGCTAGCAATAATTGCTTATTTACACCAAAAAATTCTCATTATCTGCAATTAAGTGAAATATCAGTTTCTTTTCATTTCAAATTTGAATTTTCAAAATAATGATACTATTTATTCCTTTTCAAACAGCTATCACAACCCTATAAAATCATACATCCACAACTTACTTTTTGCTTGCATACATACGACTAAACCTTCATACAATGATAATCATGAAAACGTTTTCCTTAAAGTTCATGTCTCATTTTGTTTGCATTTCTCTTATTTAAAAACTCCTCGTATTAAGCAATGAAAGGAATTGTTGACGACAGACACCAAGGGTCATAAGAAATTTATCGCTCCCTACATCAGGTGGAAAGCAGCTTGGCCAAGGCCAAATTCTTTAAAGTTCCTGCGGCAGGGGAAATTAATCAGAACTTACAGACCGCCATTTTTCTGTGATTATCTTTTTAAAAGCCAAGGTACTGTCTCAAACTCATTCTCTTATGGTTTTGTGTCCGTGTTTTGGAAGTGGTGTTTTACTCTTGTTTGTTAGGCTGGATTTGGGGTTAGGATCTGCATTTTGGCAATTGGCAGCTCATGGGTATGCATTTAATACTGATTTAGGGGTTTTAGGTCTTGTGCTTGGGTCAAGGTCTTCTTATTTGCGGTTAGCTTGTGTTATTTAGACAGCTTTAGTATTCGTAAACCAAAGCAACACTTCCTTCACAAGTGAAATCAAGGGTCTTTAAAAAATAATCTCAAACTGCATACGAAATTTGTTTAAATACCAAAGAACAACGGAAAGAAATACATCAAGTGAGCATTGCTTAATCATATATTACACCATTCACTTACACTTGAATAAATATTATAATAAAAATCAATGAAATAATATATTCATTCAACATAAAACAATACTAACCACGAAATAATCGTTACTGCAAACCCATTCTGTAACAGAATTTGACTTGTTTCGGTGCATTTTACTGATTACTACTACAGTTATTCACTATGCTCTTTATTCAACATTAAGGATTTTATGTCTTCAGTAGTTCAGTAACCTCAATTCTTGGTTATTATCGCTCCAGTCCACGTTTGACTTAGAGGTTAGATTTTTGGCCTACGTAATGCCCTGGGAATTTGTTTCTATCTTTAGGGATTCACTATGACACTGGGACTGCTCTTTGGGTACTTTTGCGCCTTTGAGTTTTAAATTACTGTCTTAGAACATTTATGGGTCAGATTTAGCATTGAATTATGACTTTTCTGTTTGTCAAAATAATTTTTCAAACAAGGTCACATTCAAAACTCTACGCATCCGGCTCCCTAAACGCCGTCCAATTTGCTAGCCACTTCCATTCTTTGATCCTGGCCAGCCACCGGCATCGTTTGATTCAGGCTTGACACCGCCATTGCTTGATTCAAACCCGTCACTGCAGTACGTCTCTGAATACTCATATTTAAGTAGACATTGACTTTTCTTTTCTCCATAAAACATGCGCCTGTAGAGAGAAATAATAATACATATTCAAGAACGGCACAAAAAAGTGACAAATACTGATGATAAGGCTTAAAAGGTTTAATCTTTGGCATCATTTAAATACTGGTTTACAGGTCTGTTAATTGAGGTTGGCAAGTTGAACTTTAATCTTTGAGACTGTGTTTGGGTTAGATTTTACTGTTACTGTTGGAATTTAGTTTTCACTTTTGCAGTTTGCTTATACGGTTTAGTTTTGTAATACTATGACACTTCTCTTAGGAAACATAGGCAAAACGTCACCCATTAAACTAAAGCTAAGGTCATAGGTCCAATCCAGTCATCACACATCTCGAACGAAATGGCCGAGTTTAACACGTGAATCTGTCCATGGGTCAGTATTCCAGTTTCAGCCCCAATGCGTCAACAAATAATTGCATAACTATATTGGTATAATTACATTACCGAATATCCCCAATACCCATTATTCTTTGCCATCTTAAACTTGGTGCACTGTCTTATTCAATGTGCAGTGTCTTCCAATACTGTAATTCAAATCTGTCATAGGAACAGAAAATTACATCTAACAATATGAGTTCCTTAGATTGTATTTCTTAGAACAATAATTCCACTACATGACTCTGACAGTCAGGGTAATACCTGTAACAATACCTCACTAGGACTGGTTTAAATTTCAAAACTGTTTACAGGATTAATCTTTAGCATCAGCTTTTTTTGGGACACATCAGGATTTTTTGTTCCTTCTAATTTCAAATATTAAAAACCAGACTACAAATATTCATTACTGCCTGTTAAACAACTTTTGCAGCTCTTTAAAAGCATACATCAACAACTTACTTCTTCCTTGGTTAGTACTGCATTTGTTTTGGACTGGCAGCAGATACCCAACCCAAACCGTAACACAGAAACCAAAACTCAAACACAACCCTACAACTTAACTTCAAATAACAAGACCCATAACTAGATTCAAGTCCAAAAGCCCCTAAAGCAGATTTAAAAGCAAAGCCAATACTAAACCTCAAACCAAGACTATTTTTCCATCTTAGGTTGTGAGGTAATACCTAGGTTCTAATATGTGTCTTCCTTCAACAATATTTTAGTATTAATTTTAGCGACCCAACGAACTTCTTGCTTGCCTACATACGAATTATGAATTTATACATACCTAGATTACAAAAGTTTTATGAATAAAATGCACAACACGACACTGCCTTTATCAATTTCGGATTCACTGAATACTACTCCCAGTTTTCAATCATGTAGATAAAAACCAAAAAAAACATAGTCATAATAATCACTTTATCCATTTAAACTACCAACTAAACTTTAAGAACGTCTATTTCAAGTTATTAGAAGCAAATTTTATACTATCAATCGTAAGAGGATTACAAATTATCGCCTATTATGACATGGTGTCCTTTTTTCCCGCCTATTATTTCCAAAATAACTATACACAAACAAAATGCTGCCCAAATTAAAATGGTGAACTCTATGCTTTTCACTCTTTACAATTTATTGATGTCTGCTTACATGCGGTGTTCCCTTAATAACCTAATTTTGTACAGTATTAAAAGTTTTGTTCAATTCTTGGTGCCCTACTCAAGTTATTTAATGTTTATTTCCTTAAAATATAATGTGGTTTAATGAAGGTACACAAGATGGCACCCGAGCATTCGCAACAGAGACTTAACCTTTAAGTACTTGAGACCTACATGAATACAGAGGATTGGGAATCAAAACCTAGGCTGCATGTCACCCCGACCGTCACTCCAATGGCATCGTTGTAGCTCCCTAGCCATATACCGTCTTTCGAAAGCACTTATGAATCTTCCTTTAAGGCACGCTTTTGTAACTCATGCTTTTGGCTTAATGCAAATTTCCAATATTTGAAAATCAATTACACCCTTTCACTGTACTTCTGTGCGCCTACTGGATACGACTTCGCTTCTACCTTGTCACTTATCCCTTTTTAATGTTTTAACGTTGTTCTTCCTTGCTTTCATTGTTTGTTTTCTTCGCCATGACTAAACTTTGTGTAAAAAGGGTATGCCCCATTCCGTTGTATGTATATTATGCATGTCTACTTTGTATTAAGACATTAGTTAATAAGTTACATTACACCCTCAAACGCTATGCAACTTTGTATTCATTCCGATGCATAGTATTTCCCTACTTCATGTTTTCTTTCTTACCATTAATCTTATTCATTTTTAAAAGGTCTAAAAAATGACCACATATTTCTAACCCAATAATTTACATACTATTGTCATTCGTTAAAAAACACTGCAAACACTGTTTATTAGTATGTACACAATATTATTGCACAATATTCAATAAATTACTCACAAAAAACATAACCATTCTTGAAAAAAAAAGATCGGGCTCTAAAACTCGCGCAACGCGCGGGCAAATGCTAGTATATGTATATACGTATATATATATATATACATATATATATATATGTATGTATGTATGTATGTATGTATGTATATATATGTATGTATATATGTATATACATACATACATACATACATACATACATACATACATACATACATACATACATACATACATACATACATACATACATACATACATACATATATATATATATATATATATATATATATATATATATATATATATATATATATATATATATATATATATATATATATATATATATATATATATATATATATATATATGATAAGGGTGATTGCCGGCGACAACTGTGGTGGACGCGGCTAGGGTTTCGGCCATTGGGAATAAGAGGGAAATACGAGAGAGAATTAATCTAACTATTCTAATCTTTTATTCCTTGACTTCTTGAGTTTGGCATTAAGCCATATTTATAGCAAAATAAACCCTAATGCTACCCTGTCGGTTCAAGAAAAGCATCAAGGGAAAGAACAAAAAAAAACCCTTGAAGGAGCTTATAATTCTATTCTCCTAATAAAATCTAAAGTAAATAAAAGGAGTCAAATAAATAAATAGAAAATTATCCTTGTATCGTTGGGGCAGCCCAACAATCTTTCGCAAACGTCTCACCATCGGGGGCTCGGGCTCTTCTTGTACGTCATGGCCCGCATGCGCCTGGACCGTATCAACTCCCCCGGTGTTTGAATTAGCCTTGTCCTCACGGCGTAGAGTGGGAAAATGTTCACGTATCATATTCACGGGTTCCCATGTGGAATTATGGCCAGACCCTTCAGGACATCTAATCAACCATTGTTCTTGAGGCTCACCGTCGACGAGCACTGTCCGACTACGAAGAGCTGCCTCCAGAACAGAAAGAGGGCGGTTCTAGAAAAACTCCGTGGGCCATGTTGGGGCAAGCACACCAGTTCATGGAGTCATGAACGGAGGCGATAAACAACATGCCCGACACGCTCCAGGACTTCGAAGGGGCCGTAGTAGCGCCGGGCTAGTTTCACAGACCTTGGCTTGGCGACGGAATGCTGGCAATACAGTTGTAGTTTAAGGAGCACCAGATCGCCAACCTGAAATGAGACGTCACGTCGATGCAAATTAGCAGAAGCCCGCATGCGCTGTTGCATCCTCCGGAGGTTGGCCTTTAATTCCTCCAAAACAGCCTCCCCTTGAAGCAAGATTTCCTCAATTGCCAGCCCTTTGAACGGACGGAGATAATGGCGAACAAGTGTCGTGGTTCATGTCCATAAAGCGCCTGAAATAGGGAAATTTTAAGGCCATCATGGTGGCTACAATTGAGAGCTATTTCGGCCCAAGGTAAGAGCGTTGCCCACTTCGTCAGCCTGTCAAAGGTAAACGCACGTAAGTATTGTTCGAGCCCTCTGTTCATCACCTCCTTCTGACCGTCGGTCTAGGGGTGATAAGCCGTGCTAAATTTCAATGTCGTGCCACTCAATTTAAGCAATTCTTTCTAAAAAAGAGTCATAAAGACAGAATCCCGATCATACACGAGATCCAAAGGAAAACCATGATGTTTGACAACCACGTCGAGGAAGAGTGGTGCTACCCGTGGAGCGTCAAAACTTGCAGGTAGAGGCCCAAAGTGGTTGTATTTAGACAAGCGATCCACCACAACGAGGATGACGGTGTAGCCACGCAACGGAGGAAGGCCGGTAATGAAATCCATGGAGGCAATGTCCCACACGCGGTTAGGCACGAACAAAGGCTGAAGAAGACCCACCAGCTTTTGTGTAGAACATTTAGTCGCTTGACATGGAACACACGCCGCAATAAAAGCCCGTACGTCCTTACGCATGTCCAGCCAATAAAACATCGCTGCTAGCCGGAAAAACGTGCGATCAATTCCTTAGTGGCTTGCAAGAGGGGTGCTATGAAATTCGGCCCGTAGTTGCTGACGGAGGTGGGAGTCCGAGCTCATATAAATCCTTCGTTTGTAATAGAGCACCCCGTAGTGGATAGTAAACTCAGGGGATGCCGTGCCAGCTTCAACACCGGCCTTAAGTGCGGAAACATCGTGTCTAGTGCGCTGCTCGGTTATCACTACCTCCATCAGAACCAGAATGGGCTGAGATAGTGCAGCAAAAGAAGCCGTTATCTCGTCATTGGAGTCATGTCTGGACAGAGCGTCCGCGTCCTTATTGGAAATTTCGGTTTTGTATTCGATCCAGAACTTGAACCCCATGAGTTTCCGGATGTAGAATTATTGGTCCGGTATTTGGATGACCTGCAATAATAGATCTTTGAGGCTCTGATGGTCGATGCGGATAACGAATTCATGGCCAAGAAAATATTTACGCCATTTTTGCGCAGACTCCACAATGGCGTATAATTCTTTGTGATACGTCGAAGTGGCTTGCCGATGCAGGCCCAGTTTCTTGGTAAAGAAAGCCAAGGGATGGCCATCCTGAAGTAGCACAACACCGATCCTAGAGTCAGACGCGTCAGTTTCGATGTAAAATGTCCAAGAAAAAACCGGGAGCCGAAGCACTGGTGCGGCAACCATTGCCACTTTGAGGCACTGAAAACTGTCCTCGGCTTGTGGTGTCTAGTGAAAGGTGTCTTTTTTAAGTAACTCTGTAAGTGGTGCGACAATCGATGCATAGCCGGATATGAGCCTCCGATAATACCCCGTGAGTCCTAGGAAACCCTATAACTGGGTCAGGGTCTTGGGCTGAGGCCACTGGAGCATAATCGAGATCTTCCCTGGGTCGGCTTTGAGGCATCCCGCGGTCACCAAATGCCCCAAATAGTCGATGGTGGTTCGGTAAAAAGAGCATTTAGGTAGCTTCACAAAGAAGGAGTTTGGCGAAGCACCCCTAACGCAGTATTGAGATGGTCGGTGCGTCTCCAAATCCGGGCTATGAATGAGGATATCGTTGAAAAAGATGATAATAAATCTACGGAGGTAGATGCGAAACACATGGTTCATGGTAGAGTGAAAAGTAGACGAGGCATTCGTAAGTCCAAACGACATCACCAAGAATTCGTAGTGCCCGTCGTGGGTGCAAAAGGCTGTCTTACTCGTGCATCCGAATTTGGTGGTAACCGGCGGCACGCAAGTCCAACTTAGTTAAAATTCGGGCGGTACCCAACTTGTCAAATAATTCATCGACGGTGGGTATGGGAAAATGATCGGGCACCGTTGCTGCATTCAATGCCCTGTAATTGACACAAAAACGAAATGTTCCATCTTTCTTCCGGACCAAGAGGATGAATGATCCCGTGTTGAAGCATGTCTTGGACTTGCCGCTTGATCTCTGTCTTTTGAAAATACGGGTAACGCTACGGGCATACAATAATGGGTTTCATATTAGGCTCCAAGTGAATCCAATGGTCCCAATCTCTACCGGGTGGCAAGGTGGTCGGCGTGTTGAAGACCGCAGCATGGGATTTCAGGATGGTCGTGATAGAGTCTGGCACGTCTGAAGAAAACTCCAGTTCGGCCACAATAAGTGGGAACCATAGGGGATGGCACAATCTCGTCCAGCGGTTGATGGGCCGCAACCAAGATGCATAAATTCCCATAGGAGATCGGTTTGGGGCATGGGGCATCACCGCGTAGCTGCAAGGTCGTCCCATTCCATTTGAATTCCATGGTTAGAGTAGCATAATCATGGGAAACCTTTCCGAGGGTTTGGAGCCATTGCACGCCCAACACTACTTCTGTTCCATGGATAGACCCGAAAGGGTGTCACGAGATAGAACACCAAAGAAAGTCTCTCTGTAACAGCCAAAGATTCACCTCACGTTGAATGGGCTGCTTGAGACCCGCGATGTACATAGCAAAAAGTGTCGGTTCTGGTACGCCGGCTACTTTGTTTAAGAGAGCCTCGAATAATGACTGATAATCCACGACGGTTGTGGTTTGATGTAACTTGGAGAGCAACCCTATGTAGATCTCATAATAGTCGGGGTCAAAACGTTGCCTAACCGCAACCAAAAACACCATCCACGAGATGTTACAATTGTTTGCTTGATAATAGCGGAACCATTCTGATGCCGGGTGGTCAATGAGCATGGCCACTAAGTGAAGACGTTTGGCCTCCGGACTGAGAAAGTAATCAAAGTACTTCTGGATTCGAAAGATCCACCCGATAGGATCCTCGCCCGAAAACCGGGGTGCATCAATGCGCATGCGAGGTATAGGATCCACTGTGTGGTTGGGAACTGATAGGTGCAAGAGGGTGGCGGCCGCCATGCAACTGAGAGAGGACGATACGGTGGGGGGCGCTGTCCATCGTCAGTGTAAGGTGGATTACCTACGGAAAAAATCTTAGCGACACGGCTCTTGGTGACGTCCAATTCCTTGGCGAGATAGGCTTTGGTAGTTTCCAATTCCTTCCCCAAGTTGTGGATGACACGCATGAGGTCATCCATCGTGAGGGCGGAGCTTGGCTGCTGTTCGTCAGAGGAAGAAGTGGCCATGAGATCGGGATGAAATTAAAGCACCAGTTGATAAGGGTGATTGCCGGCGACAGCCGCGGTGGACGCGGCTAGGGTTTCGGTCGTTGGTAATAAGAGGAATATACGAGAGAGAATTAATCTAACTATTCTAATATATGTATTTGAAATCTGATTTTTTGTTTCTT